GGTCAATATAAGATACAAATCAGCTGTCTGATTCCTTCGATGCCTCAATATTATCATATCCTTTCACACCATACCATTTGGTGTGGAAACACAGCCCAACCATCACTGCGTTTAACAATGGCTTCCGATAACATTATAAACGCCTGCTATAGTTGCATCTGCACAGACCCTTTACACAACTACTAGCGCTTTAACCACTAGGACCGCCTCAGTGGTCTAGTGGTAGAGCGTCCGCCCGGAGAGCGGAAGGTCCGGGGTTCGATTCCCGACCGCGTCATACCAAAAGACGTTTAAAGATGGTACTTGTTGTTACCCTGTCTGGCGCTCAGCATTAAGGGGCTAAAACAAGGACTGGTCGGCTCGGAGTCAATATACTGTGTCTGAGTGGGGTATTCATGTTAAACTGCGGCATGGTATCTCAGTGAGCTAGCACTTTAAATCGGCATCAGTCCGGACTAGTACAAGCAAACACACACACACGTACATGCACGTCGCTATATAAGTGCAATAATCTTGGACGCGACGTTAAACCCCATTTCACCTCACCTCACCTTTAACCACAAGGCTACCCGACCGCCCCAGTGTTATTGAAATGACGGGACAAGTTGGAAGAGGAAAAGGTTGTACGTTATCTCACTTGCATTGTAGGGTTAAAATTAGGTCAACTACATGCGTTCAGTGTATTTCCTCTGTTCAGGCTTTCCTCTTTCGCGGAACTCTCACTCGGAATCCCCACGGGCGCTGTAGTACTGGTGCAACCTTGCGCGACTAACCCGGCCACGAATTTGATAAGAGTAGAAACGTGAGGTTCATAATCGGCGTTGAGACAATTTTAGAATTATTTGTTGCATTCAGAACACCCATTTTCATATTTATGTGAATTGTAAGGAAATCTGAACGTGTTTTGGGTCAGCAAACTCGATAACCAGGTGTCAGAGTTAATTCAGTTTTTTTGTCACACTATTATGAATTCTTGGATACAACACAACAAGAAGGAAAATTGCGAAAACTATGCAATAAAGACATATCGTGGATATGTGTTTAAAGTAGATATTGAGAAGCTAAATGTTATCACCATATCACATAATAATTCGCGAACCGCCGTCATATAGCTGGAATATTGCTGAGTGCGGCGTTAAACAACAAACAAACAAACAAACATAATTCGCTAAAGCATAAATTATAATTGAAATACAAATCGACAGATGCGAGTGGAATGCCTACTTTGTTTTTTGTGTGCATTTTTTGGTTTTAATCCTTGATATTTCTTGTTTCGCGGTGGGGGCATCTATTGACAAAACTACACATGATAATATACTCTTATAAAGAAGGGCAATATAAATGTTGATATAAGTAAGTATTAGGATAAAGATAAGTGTTGACGACAAGGCAAGTTGTTCCTATGCAAGAACGTTCATGTCTGTAAAACCTAAAACCACAACACATCCTATAGTTTGCACGACACGTACGTAGGTTGTCATTGCTGATTTTGACACTTTCAAGGAAGGTCGATAGATCTCTGTTGACCATTATTTCTGTCAATCTTATGGATTCTGCTCGTCATACACTCGTGATTTACTTGACTCCATTCATTGTTTGTGTATGAACAAGTGATGCAGCATCTGCAACGCGCGGAGCGTCTACGTATGCTGGAAACTGACAGAAGTCAGCGCGCAGTGGCCAATATGTTCTAGTGAGTGAGTGAGTGAGTACGGTTTTACGCCGCTTTTAGCAATATTCCAGCAATATCACGGCGGGGGACACCAGAAATGGGCTTCACACATTGTACCCGTGTCGGGAATCGAACCCGGGTCTTCGGCGTGACGAGCGATCGCTTTAACCACTAGGCTACCCGACCGCCCCCAATATGTTCTATGTTTCACAGTCTGTGATGAGCAGATTATAAAACGGGTCGCAACAAACCCCAAATGTTAAGGAGGGACCCCATTCAAGGCGCCGCAGGTCAACGACAAGAGTACAGGATCGATTGATTCGAAACAAGGCTCTACGAATTCAAGCTCAACGGCGAATCAAATTGCTGCAAACAGTCATCAGGCTACTGGAGTAGGAGTTACGGGTCAGACGATTAGAAGTCGTCAATATGCAGCTAATCTCCATGGTCGACAGCCACGTGTTGTGCCACCCATTACAAATTGTCATATAGTCAACACATGTCAATGGTGAACACGATGTCGACACTAATCGTCGCTGGTCACGCTTGGCCAGGTGCTGCAAGAGTGGGACAGACTCCCTAAAATCGCCATTGGGGGACTCAAATGCAGTATTCCTCGTCGACTGAATGAATGTTTGGCAGATTGTGGATATATATGCACAACTGATCCAAATACATATACTTTATATAAGGTATTTAAATCTGATTTATATTCTGAATGATATCTTAAAATTTTGGATATTAAATATGGAATATCAGTATGTCATTTTCGAACTTCAAATTATCCACTTCAAATTGAAAAAAGGCAGATGAATAAACCAAATTCCATTGGCACAAATATATTACGTCCATTATCTGAAACCAGGGACAAGGTATATGAGTTTTATTATCATTTAATCACCCCGTTTTTTAACAGAGAAATATTTGTATCCCACTATATTATCGTAAATGTCTCAACATTCCGACTTTTGTCTTGCTATTTTCCATTTAAAAATAGGACTGTTAAAAAATTAAGTAACTTTTGTAAAGTTATTATTCAAAAATTTAGATAACATACTAATACATATCTTGCATGAAGTATTATGTTACAACACTGCATGTCCTCTGAATGTGATTGCGTGTGGTACATGTATTGTACGTAGGTAGCTTTACAGTGATCAGCATCATTGAAATGACGGGACAAGTGAAAGAGGAAAAGGTTGTACGTTATCCACCAGGCATTGTTCTTACTTGCCTATCTTCAACATGAGGTCAACTGTATCATGTATTTCCTCTGCTGGGACTTTCCTCTTTGATTTTTTTCTCTGCGTCATTGATACACGTGATTCGCTTTCCTTTGATATCACCATTTATTTGAACATTGATAACTACATGCGCAGGGTCCGAGGTTCGCAATAGTAGCATATTCTCTTCTGGGACACATACAAGAATGATGCTTTCTGTATTGTGTATTATCGGGATTTCCATAATATGTGCCACTACCGGTAAGAGTCTTAAACACGATTTCACACCATCTGATTTCTATCACTGAGTGACAGGGTGATTGTATTTAATTTAAAAGCGCAGAACTTTCTGTCACTGTCATCAGATAGATTTTCCGGGTACCATAAGGGGTACGATCAACCAGGTCACACATTTTTACCACTCGATGTTTGCTACTCTCAGAAAACAGTATAATGAACTTATTTAGTAACAGCGGCCAGAAGCTTAGTAAACAGAGAATTAACTATCCTGCCTGGTGGGTTTCACGAAGATGCTGAAGATATAGTAAATGTCACTTATTAAATTAGTATAATTCACTACTTAAATTACACTGTAAAAGAGTTGAGAATGTAAACACATACAAGACATGATCAGGAGTGTGTTTCAATCCTAAACGGTAAGCACATTTGGTGTGTTCTGTCTAAACCCGTTTAGGCTTTAAACACATGATATGAGCTATCACCTCATAGCCTAAACACCACCTAAACACAGCATCCCAAAATCTAAATAGTTTAATAAAGTGTATATGACCAGGCTATAAGTCAAATATGGATGAGATGTATGATATATACTATTCCAAAAATGAAACGCATAGGTGTTTCTGAATTTAAAAAAATCCTCTGATCAAAGAATATGTCAACTGAATTGATAAAATATGTTATAATTCTGTTTATGGGAGACTTCTATGTAAATCTGTCCTTTAAAAAACCACCAAAACGCAAAACGTTGTGTTTGATAAGCCGTTTTACAAATTTCTGAAAACACATCACCAAAACGAAACCAAACTCATTTTGAACGCGCAAATTGGGCCATGAGTTGCATGCTCAATATCATTAAAATCAAATCTTAGTTTTCGCTACCGCTAAACAAAGATCTGAGGACATCGTCACGGGTCACGTCAGAACGACCTTTCATCCAACAAATCAGAGCGTCGCTTTCTAGATGATGACAGTGAGAGTCGGAATGTGTTATCTTATCATGCAACCAAGAAATATTTAACACGGGGTATTCCGAACGACAGTTACGGGTTTTATATATGATTATATCCATACAATCTAGGCCATCTATAAGCCATTCTAGAATGTTCTTCTTATCAGTTTTATTTTTTTTAATCGAGAATACGTAAAAAAAATGTTTCGAAGCGTAGTCGCCAGTTTGAAACTAGTACCGTAAAGCTCAAGAAAGCTGCCTTCTGATTGGCTACTGTCGATTTCTTGTCAGTCATTTCACTGGTCGGTCAAAATTCGCGAAAGGTCGTTCTGGCGTGACCCCTAACGTGATGTCCTCAGATCTTTGTTTAGCATAGCGAGAACTAAGATCTGAATTTAATGAGATTGGTTGCATGCTGTATCTGTCTATAAAATGCCATGTCGCATTCGAAATGTGAAATCAGTTTTGAAGAGTTTCACGACGGAATCATTATGCCATGTATAGACGCTGCGACTCGCAATATCGCCATTGGAAGACTAGGGGCTGGTGAGTCGCAATCTTCAGTTGCATGACGTCTAAATGTAAGCCAGAGTACGATTTCTCGACTCGCAACACGCAACAACCTTACGGGTACCACAAACGACCGTCCACGCACCGGAAGACCTCGAGTCACCACAGCAGCTCAGGATCGCTACATCCTGGTCGTCCATTTACGTGATCGTACTGTTACAGCTGAGAGCACAGCGGAGGATATCGGGGCAAACAGTACGGTACAGACTGAGAGAGGTTGGACTGAGAGCCCGGAGACCCTACTTCGGGAACGTGTTACGACGTCAGCATCGCGTCCAACGTCTCCGCTGGTGCAATAACATGTCGGCCTGGAACTTACGAAACTGGAGGCGCATATGGTTCAGCGATGAATCTAGGTTTCTTCTACAGTGACGGGATGGACGAAACAGAGTTTACAGATGGGTCCATGAACGTTATGCTCCTAACTGTGTACGTCCAGTGGACAGATTCGGTGGAGGAAGTGTCACGATGTGGGCGGCGATATCCTACACCAACCGTACTAATCTTATCCATGTCCAAGGAAACCTGACGGCTGTGCGCTATAGGGACAATACACTGCAAACACCAAAACGTCGTTTTTTTCCGTATATGGTCATTCGACGGAAAAACGACGTTATTTGGACGTTTTCAAACCATCGTTTTTCCGTCCAAATAACGTCGTTATTTGACATCGGAATTTACTGGGAGAGAACGATACCGTTAAGCTCCTCCCTTTCTTGATTGACATTGTCAATCAAGCAACAGCGTCTACCGGTATTTCTACTTCTCGGTTTTCATTGGTCAGTCCCCGCGTGTTAGATTACAGGCCCGCGTTTGACGCAGCACTCGAAGCGCTTAGCGGAAGTATTGAAATCAATCGTTCTGCGCATGCGGATTACTTAATGCCTTGACCAAATTTTCCGTTCTGTGCATGCGCGCTTTCGCGTATTGTTTCCTAGATTTAATGTCACCACTATTTGACAATGGTTCATAAATACAGTCACGTGAAGGTTCGGAATCGTAACAAGTAACTCCATTTAAATTGAAGAGTATCCCCAGTGATATGGGAGATTCCAAGATGAAACTATTCTATGGCTATCTAGGCTGCCACCCAAACCGATCTAAACGGGACCCGATAGCTTATTGTATGCTATATAGTCATATGGAAGTGGACAAGAACTATACATTGTATTCCGGCCGATTGTGTTCTTGCATTTACTTATAAGTCAGGAAAATGGACTTAAAAGGGGAGTTGTTGAATGTAATTATTTTAATTATTAAATGTTGCCTATACACTAATCTGGACGAACTTCTCATCGTTCTGTTTATGTCATCCTATATACTATTAGTATGTTACCATTCTAAAGTCAACCTCTCACATAACATTATATTGTTCATAGTATCAAAGTTTAATCAACCATATCAAGAGCAGCGATTTAAACCACTGAAACACCCAAACACAAGGCTGTTATCAAGCGCTAGTGCAGACGTGATGCATCGTAAAAACTGTATCGTGATGTCTTCAGAAATACAATTATACTACGAGATAGTACGGCTAACGCTGACTCACCGGTGGAACAAAGACAATATCGCTAATACATACGCTATAACGTATTTGAATGTTAATACTAAAGACAAACAATCATTATTTTTGCAGTGACGATATAACACGTATACACGTTTATTGTTAACTTTCATCAGTTTTGCTCTTCATTTTAATAACTTTGTTTTCACATATATATGTAGCAATACCCGACAAGCATGTCATACATAATTATGGGGCAGTTTTCAATCTTGTACTGACTTACTCTGGTGTTAATGAGCGAAGTTTATTGGCTTGTGTGTAAAACCCCGTTTTTCTGGTAATCCTATTATTACTTAGTTTATTTCTATCTAATGACACCCTGTACTCTGGATCATGGCTCCGTGACTATCCATAACAATGAAGATGAACATTCAGTTCAAGTAAATGAATGAGTTTGTTTTGACGCTACAGTCAGTCAAAAAACCAATGCTGTGAGGTTTGATAACGCACTTCTACCAGGTCGAACATCGTGGATCCTCATTTTCTGCCTAAAGAGAATCATAGTTCATATGCTAATCCATCTGGGAATACCCCCCACTCAAGATGACCTTACTTGTTGCTAAATCTATCATCTATCCTCCCAATCTCACCCCCAACGCTCCAACCCCCACTCTCTCCCCCCCCCCCCCGCACGCACGCACGCACGCAAACACACACACACGCACACACGCACACACGCACACACACACACACACACACACACATACACACACAAACAACTGACCTAAATAACCTGGACAGGAAATACTGCTGATAGCCTCTGGTCAACTCAGCCGCGCCACCGCAAAATGTTCGTCCAACTCTGCAGGGGGCATTCTCAGTGGCTTCAAACGCGCTGAAATGTTTTCGCCTTGCATCCAAGATGCCGGACAAGTGAAATCGTATGAAATTTGGCTATTTTAGGTCCTATCTCTTTTTTGATTACCCAATACAGTCAATTCATAGTTACACGGTTGTGAAGAAGCTTACAACTTTATAAGACTTATTCATCTCATTCCAAAAAAGCTACTCGCGCTCACATAAAGTTGTAGTTATAATGTCACTGTTTTATTTCTGTAAAAATATATCACATGTTCAACAATAACAATTAAGATGAACATTCAATTTCCGATATAAGTAAATGAATAAGTGTGTTTTACGCCACAATCAGTCAAAGACAAACGTTGTCCGGTCTGATGACACACAATCTACCAGGTAGCACATTGTGTACACCCTATCCCCATTGAAGTCTCCACTGTGGGTATTCCTGGGGACGAAAAGGCCCCATGTACCTAGAAATTTCATCAATACATTCATGCGCGGCATTCTCTGCCTAAAGAAGATCATATAGTTAACATGCTAATCCAACTCGAACTACCATCCCGCTCAAGATGAATGTTTTATGTAACATCCAACAGGCCCACATTTACGCACGCACGCACGCACGCACGCACGCACGCGCACACACATATTTGGATTTACCAATCCCAGAATTGAGAAGACGTGCGTGACATTATAACTACAACTTTATGTGAGCGCGAGTAGCTTTTTTGGAATGAGATGAATAAGTCTTATAAAGTTGTAAGCTTCTTCACAACCGTGTAACTATGAATTGACTGTATTGGGTAATCAAAAAAGAGATAGGACCTAAAATAGCCAAATTTCATACGATTTCACTTTTCGGCATCTTGGATGCAAGGCGAAAACATTTCAGCGCGTTTGAAGCCACTGAGAATGCCCCCTGCAGAGTTGGACGAACATTCTGCGGTGGCGCGGCTGAGTTGACCAGAGGCTATCAGCAGTATTTCCTGTCCAGGTTATTTAGGTCAGTTGTTTGTGTGTGTGTGTGTGTGTGTGTGTGTGCGTGTGTGCGTGTGTGCGTGTGTGTGTGTTTGCGTGCGTGCGTGCGTGCGGGGGAGGGGGGGGGGGAGTGGGGGTTGGAGTGTTGGGGGTGAGATTGGGAGGATAGATGATAGATTTAGCAACAAGTAAGGTCATCTTGAGTGGGGGGTATTCCCAGATGGATTAGCATATGAACTATGATTCTCTTTAGGCAGAAAATGAGGATCCACGATGTTCGACCTGGTAGAAGTGCGTTATCAAACCTCACAGCATTGGTTTTTTGACTGACTATAGCGTCAAAACAAACTCATTCATTTACTTGAACTGAATGTTCATCTTCATTGTTATGGATAGTCACGGAGCCATGATCCAGAGTACAGGGTGTCATTAGATAGAAATAAACTAAGTAATAATAGGATAACCAGAAAAACGGGGTTTTACACACAAGCCAATAAACTTCGCTCATTAACACCAGAGTAAGTCAGTACAAGATTGAAAACTGCCCAAAATTATGTATGACATGCTTGTCGGATATTGCTACATATATATGTGAAAACAAAGTTATTAAAATAAAGAGCAAAACTGATGAAAGTTAACAATAAACGTGTATACGTGTTATATCGTCACTGCAAAAATAATGATTGTTTCTCTTTAGTATTAACATTCAAATACGTTATAGCGTATGTATTAGCGATATTGTCTTTGTTCCACCGGTGAGTCAGCGTTAGCCGTACTATCTCGTAGTATAATTGTATTTCTGAAGACATCGAGTTACAGTTTTTACGATGCATCACGTCTGCACTAGCGCTTGATAACAGCCTTGTGTTTGGGTGTTTCAGTGGTTTAAATCGCTGCTCTTGATATTGTTGATTAAACTTTGATACTATGAACAATATAATGTTATGTGAGAGGTTGACCTTAGAATGGTAACATACTAATAGTATATAGGATGACATAAACAGAACAATGAGAAGTTCGTCCAGATTAGTGTGTGCGCGCATTAATTGTTTTATTAAATGTATCTTCGAGAGTCAGTAAGAAACTAGAAATAACTGCCTTTGTTCTGTAAACCTCACCAAGTTTCAGCTTTCGCCTCTTCCTTTGTGGACTGAGGTTTCACATTTGTAAAATGATCTCTCTTATCTGTCTGTACCATCAACTTAACTGCCCTCACCCCCTGCAGTTTTCCCGTCCCATATTGCCAAGCAGGTGACCCACAAGGAGGAATACCGCCCTCCCTCAGTCCAGTGATACTGTGCCTAGCACAATATGTTGGGGATATGTAGCCTTGCTGTGGGCAAACATATTGTAACAATTTGGCAAACTTTGATATGTAAACAGCAAATATTATTCAGTTTTATTTCAACAAAAACGGAAAAAATCGGATCCTACTTATTTTGTGGATACCATAACAATAAATCAAGCCAATAGATCGTTTGAGCTGGCATGAATATAAAAAATAATAAGCAAGTCGATAGTCATAATTCCCTCTGTTTGTCCCACGTGAAATGTTCTTCATGAATAGAATAGATGGCTGATAGACGTTCGACCGAATAATATCATTTGCTAACTTCAATTGTTCATCTAATTTCCATGAATGTATGTTACATAGTTCATATGTTCATGGACTTCTTCACTGAATGTATAGTGTCGGGGACTACTTCACTTGAGGATAAGTAACATAAATAATGATGATAATTATGATAGTATTGCCATTATTATTCCTTCAGATTATTAAAAAAAAAGTTATTATGTTTTCATAGAGAGAAAGAGGTATGGAGATTGTGAAATTATTTTTAGCATCGGAATTGTTAGCATAATTCTTAAAGATATTATGTTTTGTTTGTTTGTTGTTAAATGCTGCACTTAGCAACGTAAGGATATTAAAATATTACATTTCGGTTCGGTTGTATTTTTATATTTGTATCATTTTGCAAATGTTACAGAGACCTGATAAGGGATATATAATAATGTATAGTCGCTATTCTTAAAGTAAGAATATGTTAGATTTCTCAACCAGAAATATTGCACACAAGAGGATAATAATATTTCATGACACTATTCAACGTCGAAGTCAACGATATT